ACGACTGCGAGACGAATAAATACTTAAAAAAAGCGAGCGAGCGAAAGAAAACGGTCACGACTGCGAGGTTGGTTCGCTTTTGGCAAATGCAGCGGGCGCGACTGAAGAGATCCACAGAAGACTGGACCCAAAGCAATTCCACACGGTCTGAAATTGCACCCGAAGAAATCCGCAAGATTGACGGCGCCCGTGGCAGCAAGGTAAACTCCCGCTCTTTTTTAAGCCCCTCCCCCCACCTGCTGTTTTGATTTCTCCGCTTCCGGTCAAACATTTCATTCCACTCGTGACATTCGCAGACTATTCGATGGATGCGCAGTTGCCGGGGGGGCTGCCGGTGAATGCTGAAAGCCGAAAAAGGTGCGACCGACGTGCCGCTCTTTCAACGGCTGTCCAACTCAAGTTCAAGTCAAGTTTCTTGTCAAATGTGCAACATACAGCGCAGATGAAATGTCCTTCCTCTCAACCACAGGAGAGAGACAAAGAGAGAGATCGTCATCGTCCAATGCGAGGAAACGTCGCCGGTCACTCCGACGGGATGGAGTGAACGTCGCACACGTGATTCGGATCGCTCCAGCGGCAGCGTGTTCGACTTTGGTGAGTGAAACCGCACGCGCCCTCACCCGGAGCGAGACTTGACGGACACGAGCGAGGGAACGAGAGAGATTTTTCACCTCATTGGAATGTCGTGCGTTCATCCCGCCTTCTCGTTTGTCAATATTCACTTCTGCTTGTGAATCGTTGAGCGTGCGTGCGCTTGTGGATCAGTGGGCGCGCGCCTTTCATTTGGAGCCAAAAGTCCGAGCCGCACGCGTTCACTTGTGCGGAAAGGCCCGTCCTTCCTCCGTCCGCTGGGGGGCGGTGTTGCTCTCGCCATCCAACCGGACGAGTCCGAGCCGGTTTTTGGTTTCGAAATTGCCAAACGAGAACGAGCCTTGATCGGAACTCCCATTCCGTCTTTATTGAGCACCGGTTGGGGAACAAAGTGTTCCCCCTCCACATTTTTTGCCTCGATGCTGAACCCCCCCCCCCTTGGTGTTTCCCACAAACACACATTCAACAACTGACGAGCAGACTCGAATGGTCACCGATGATGAATGGATGTGGAAAAACCTGCACGTGTATTGGCGCCAATCGTTTGCCGATGAATCGTGGGAGTCCACTGGTGAGCCGCCGTCTCGTTTCGCCACCGCCGCTCAAGCTACTTTATTTGAAGGTGACCGTGACGCTGGTTCTTGGAGAGCTCCGCGTTTTATCAGGCGCAACCGAGCTGCGCATGGACAGCGTCTCAGCGGCGCGGCGGAGCTCATCGGGTGGCCGGCTAGTCAGCCGACAAGTAGTTTTGGAACATTCCAGTGCATATACGAATGTGCAGTATTGCTTGGTTTCCTGAAGAACAACCCAAGAATTCACCCCCCGCCCCCCAAAAAAAAAAGAAAAAGAAAGAAGTCATTTCCCATCCCTCATCTTGGTTTTGGGGTGGCTTTGCTACCTCACGCCGTACTGCAGCGCGCGGCTCCCTTGGCGTACGTGCCGTAATACTCCATTTGAGAAAGTTTAGCGGCGTCTCCCGTGTTGTCGTTGGCTCGGTTCTCTCGCTCGCCGAATTCAAAGCTCTCCACCTCGTAGTCCCGCGGCGCTTGGGTGTCTTGCGGCGGCTCTGAAGGAAGAAGCAAAGAGGGCAAACGTGACGGGAGCCCGGCCGAAGACGCTCCTCCCCGCGCGCGCCGACGCGGACGGGCGGCTCTCGTCCGCTAGCTTTGCTAAACACGCGGCGAGGGACCGACGCGTGCGGCGACGCCTAAACGGCCGCGGCCCAAGCGTTCGGAGGCGAGCCGCGGCAAAGCCCACTTCTCACCTTTTGCAAAGCCTCAAGTGTGCACCCGCCGCCACTGGCGGTCGAAAACGGTTGGATGCGGAGCGGCTTCGCGCAAGATGAGCATCGCGAGCATTGAGGGAATTTCAGAGCAAAAAGCCGGGGAGACGGCGGCCGACCCCTTGGGTGTCCCGAACGCGGCCGCCGTGCACGTTTTCACCAGCGGCTCACGAGATCGGCCGGCAAACGGCGCCCGACCGCAATACGGTTTCACTTCTTGCTCTCTATTTGGCCCCCCACCCCATCTTATTTCTGCTTATTTCTGTCCGTGTTTGTCGAAAGTTCAATCCCCCCCCCGGGAAAATAAGGACGTGTGGAGTTTGAATGGGGAAATGCCTTCTTTTCAATGACATTGTTATTTTTCAATGGGGGCATTTTGGGGTTTGGTTTTTTGGGATGCCGAGCGTTGTTTGGAGAATCATTCCCCGTTGAAGCAAACATTCGTTTGGACAAATGTAAAAGAAGCAACGAATCGATGTCCCTGAAGACTTTGCATCATCGCTTTGCTCCCGATTGACGGCGGCACCTCCGGGAAACACGTTTGTTTCCTCAAATCAAAACGACTCGTTGCCCAAAGTCCCCACTGAAGGAGCTCGGCGCGACGACGGCCAACGCTCGCTTTTCTCCGGCCGCTCATCGGTCCGTCCGAGCGAGAGCCGACCCCGGACCGCCCCGTCGGCGCCGCGACTCGGCCCGCCCCGGCGAGCGGCGTACCGTGGCCCTCCGCGGCGCCGTCGGCGATGCCGTGTTTGACCTTCATGTGGCGGCTGAGGTTGCCCTTCAGGTTGAACTTGCTGCTGCAGTAGGGGCACTTGAAGGGCTTGCTGCCGGCGTGGAGGTGCATGTGGCCCAGCAGGTTGTACATCCTGTTGAAGGACTTGCCGCACACCTGCGAAAAGAGCAGAGCGCGGACGTGGCGCACCCGCCGCCGTCTTCCCGGCGGAGCCCGCCCGCCAGCCCGCCCGCCCGCCCGTACCTTGCATTTGAAGGGCTTGACGGGCAAATGGACGATCATGTGCGTCTTGAGGGTCTGCTTCTGGACGAAGGTCTTGAAGCACACGTGGCACTGGAAGGGTCGCACGCTGGCGTGGATCAACATGTGCCTCTTCAGATTGGCCGACAAGGTGAACTCTCTGCTGCACACTTCGCACTTGAATTCTTTCGTTCCCTAAGGAGGGGTGGGGGAGGGTGTGCGTGAGTATTGCCTTGCAAATATTGCGCGCGCTGACGAGCGTTTTCAGCATCTTCCACACGTGCGAGTATTCCATCCTTGTTTCTTATGTCATCCATCCGTACTCGTGACAAACGCAATGACGAGACGGTCGATTCCATTCCATTGGATTTCCATTGACGGGACCAATTTTACTCGCATCTCAAGGCGCGGCTGTATTTGCATCGGGAATTTGTTGCGCCGCCAGCAAGTCCGTCCAAGAAAACAAATGCTCGCTTGACGCAAACGCGCCAGGTGAGCACAACCCTCTCCCCCCAAAAAGGGGTTCCAGGCCTGATATCACAAACCGATGCGTTTCCAAGCCAAGTGACAAAGCCCAATTTTTCCTCTCCAATACAGGCTAGCAAGCAAGCAGCATTCTGCGGCTGCGTTTGTCACACGCGGAGAAAGGAACTCGCAACGCTCCATCTGATTTTTGTTGTTGTTTTTTTTTTTTTTCTCTCTCTTTCTCTTTCCCCGTCTGAAGGAGGCTTTCAAGGGGAGCCGTTTTGAAGACGGAACCACGTCAAGACGGATTGGAAACCGGCGGATTTGCAAGATAGGTTTGGTGACACCAGGCCTGGAATTTTTCAGACTCGCCTCGTATACATTGCTATCAAGAGCGGAATCCGAGTGATTTGGACTCCCCCCTCTCCCCCCAATGCTGTATCATCGTTGCCCCGCCTACCGGTTGGATACCTCACGGAAATAGTTTTGGGAGTGGCAGCTTTAATTGGGTGAAATTCACTCCATCTCCCGGTGGAGTGGAGACGATTTCATTGTGAGATGGTGAGAAAAAAACGCCGATTCAAATGGACACAAAGCGCTTTCCGGCAACTCACCAAGTTCACAACGGCGGGGAAGTGAGCCAAAGGAGAAGTTCCAAAGCTTTTGAAGATGATCGACACGCGTGACAAGTCTATATAGCGCCGCGTTCCTCGCGGACCGGCCCGCCAATTTGCCAATCGGCGCCTACTTTGGAAGCGCGTCCGGACTCGTGGGCCGTTTTCGGCGGCGGGGGCGGGGGCCGTACCTTGTGGGTGAGGGCGTGCTGTCGCAGGTGGTGGACCTGGACAAACTCCACGCCGCACTCGGAGCAAACGTAGGGCCGGACGTCGCGGTGCTTCATGGCGTGGTTCTGCAGCTGGCTGCGGTACGCGAAGGCCTTGTGGCACTCGCCGCAGCGGTGGGCGGCGGGGCCCCGGTGGCCGGCCAGGTGGCGCTCGAGGCGCGCCCGAGCGGGGAACTCGGCGCCGCAGCGGCCGCAGACGTGGCAGCGGCCGTCGTCGTGCTTGCCCTCGTGGGTCCGCAGCTCGCTGGGGTAGGCGAAGCCGCGGGCGCAGAAGCGGCAGCTGTAGGGCTTGACGTCGCTGTGCTGCAGCATGTGGCGCTTCAGGTGGCTGGTCTGCGTGAAGGCCTTCTCGCAGACGCCGCACTTGTGGGGCCGCGTGCCCTGGTGGGTCAGCAGGTGCGTCTGCAGGTGGCTGGGCTGCTTGAAGAGCTTCCCGCAGCGGGCGCACTCGTGCGGCTTGATGCCGTTGTGGCCCAGGATGTGCGTGACCAGGTTGTACTTGGACGTGTACGACTTGGCGCACATCCGGCACTTCCAGCGCTTCAGGCCCTCGCCCACGTCCACGCAGTACGACTCGTCGATCTGGATGTTGATGTCCAGCCGGTCCATCTGCATGCGCCTGGCGAGGCCCTCGGGGTCCGACCACGGCGCGGCCCGCCCGCTTTCCTCGTACTCCGCCGGCGGCGTCGCGCCCGCCGACCGGTACGCCGCCGCCGCCTCGTCGGCTTCCGCGTATTTGCTGTGGAGAGCTTCGGCGCCGGTCTTAAGATCGAGGGCCTCCTCCTCCACTTCCATCAGCGACTCCTCCTCCTTCCGACTTTGCTCCGGGTGCGGTCCGAGCGGTCCGCCTCCCCGCAGCAGGGAGCTCGCTCCGGCGCACCAAGCGCAATTTTCACGGGCCGGCGCGTTGGGAAAGCTGGCGGCATCGATGGGGACGCGCCCGTGACCGGTGTGCGCGCATGTGGCGAACGTCTCCGACTCCGTCAGCTCCCCTTTAACTTGAGCTCGCGGAGAGCGGGCGGCTTCGGGCGGGCGAGCCGCCCGCTC